AGCAGGAGAAGGAAAAGCTCATTTAGGAGAAAAGGAATGTAGTGTCCTGCATAGTGAATTCCACTGAAATCCAGCTCCTCTAAAATTCACTCTTTTCTCATCTCATACATGAAAACAAGAGACTGACATGTTTTTCTGATGATGTTATCTCACCGTGTAATTAAGGGGTGAGATTCGAAAGCTGAGGTGGAGTTTCTGTCTTTGATGTCTTGCTGCAGTTTGATCCCATGAGTTCCCCAGACACTTCTTGAGAATAGCAAAGTATTGAAATATAATCTGCGTATCACTTGCCTTTCTCGGGCAGCACAGTTTGCCCTCAGTTAAAAGTCATTTGTTTGCAAAGGAAAATTTTGTGTTGCGTAGTCCTGTTATTTTAAAATATGACATGTGACAGAATATTTCCTTATTTAGCACTCAGAGCTTTCTATCCAACCATCCAGTGTTTGAAACTGAGGAGGGCCAGTCGCTGTCCTCTCTTCTGAGGGTCTTCATTGACTGCAACTCTCACCACTTGGCTTTTGGTGAAAGGAAGCAAAGAATGAAGCATTTACAATGACACCCTCCAGGCTCTTGCTTGTCCTTTCTTTTGTTCATGGTACTTTGCAGCTGGCGGGTAAGTGTCTCCTGCTTCTCTGCTGTAAAGCTGTGTGTGAAAGTACTTCCATGTGTCATGGCATTTGACATAGCTTTATGATTCTGTGGCAGTGCCTGACTATACATTATTAGTTTGGGACGTAAAGATGGGGAATCTCTTAAAGGAAGGCAACAGGCAAGGACAGGATCTAGCAGAAGAGGGAAATGGGTAGAGGAGGAAGCAAAGACTGAATTCTTAATGGTTTTATTCATATAGATTTCGAGTGGTATTATTATTTCAGAAACCCCAGAAAATCAGAACTAACAAAATCATAAGATGTTTAAAATTTTTTTTTTATTTTTTACTTCTGCGTTCTGATTTTTGAGCTTTTGGTGTCTGGGTTATGGTTACCAAAATCAGGCAGGAAAACCTGAGGGGTGGTAAAATATGGAATTATTTGAGGGATGTTAAGACGTTCACAGATGATGGTTGTGCTATCCAGAGAGACTAAGTGATTACAGAAAAGAATTATTTTCATTCTGTTCTTGCTGTTTTGAACAGATGCTGAATTCACTGGCATTGACTGGGTGGATGAAGCAAACTTTATATGAAGTAACGTTGGGTTAGGTTTGGGAAAGTTATTGCAGAATTGCACTAATAATATTATTGACCTCTGTTTAGTTGCACTTCTACAGTAGATGTTAAATAGTTGGCCTTTGAAGACCTGTATGTTTAAGGGTAAATCCTTTCAGCTGTGTAATTATTGAGTTGAACTGTTTATTATGGCTCGTCTCAGAGTTTCTGGGTTTTTAGTTGCTCACGGTATCACTGCAGGGACAGAATAGTTTTTTTCAGTGCACTGTATATTACTGATTAAATTGATTTCAAAATTTTTCAGACTTTCTATGACATTTCTTGGGTTTTTTTCTGCATTTGTATTATATATGACATCCAGTGATGACATCCATAAAAATATGTTGGGCATCAAAATAGGTTATGAATCCCACAAACTTTCAAGGGAAATAGAACCAGCTGGGTCACAAAAAATGCCATAAAGCGGCAGAGCAAATTTGTGTGCGTGGCTCGCTTTTTCCACTGAAAAGCTTTTAGGACTCAAAATAGCTCGGCTGTTTCTACTTTACATTGCAGTAAACTTAATCCAAGAAATGAAGTGGAGTTCTAGGGATTCAATTGCTGTTACAGGTGGACCTTTTAACTTCCATAGACCTTTCCAAGTGGTGGTCAAATGGCACAATTATCCAGTCGTTGCTTCTTTCTCGGTGTCATACCTAGTTTTACATCAATATGGTTCTTAGTAGATGCTGCAGGTCTTGTAGGTCAGCAAGGCCAATGAGCCCAGGGTACCCTCTATGAGGTTCAGAGTTGTTCACCCAGATTTATACAGTGAAAAGAAAGGGAAATCTGGATTTAGGAGGGGGAAGACAATTGGCTTAGCAAAAATGACTGTGACCCACCAGGAGACCTTTAAGATCTTGCAGGGTCAGAAAATTTCAGATTTGAGAGATCTACAAGGTCATGCACCTGAAGACACACGGGAAACAGGGTAATAGTGATAACAGTGAGGTTGAGGGAGTTCACATGACTAATATAAATCAATTCAGTAAGCTGTGCTTAGCTCTGCTGATGCTACTGGATGCCACCAATCCACATATGATCACACATAAAGGACATAGCCTATTGCCTACCTGATTGTTTTTTGATTGATAAAATTGACATTGTTCTTGACTCTATTAAAAAACATCATAGTTGTATCTGAATCCTATTCATTTATGTGAAGTAGAACCATGTGTCTTATATACACTATACGTATATTACATACCAACAATATATTTTGCATTATTTCATTTCACAGATATTGAAATATTTTTAATTTACAATAAAGCAAGCAAGCTCTGCCTTCAGGCTTCTATTGCACAGTCAGTTAGAACGGCTACTTGCCATCAAGACAATGAATCACAAAAATTCAGGTGGGTCACCGATCACCAGCTTATGAGCGTGAAACTCAACCTGTGCTTAGGCGTGCTTTCAAAGGAAGATCAGGCTGCGATCACCCTGTATCCATGTAACCAAATAAGTGAGCTTCAGTGGTGGGACTGCAGAAATGAAAGCCTTCTTGCAATCCAAGGAGAAGATTTGTTTTTCAGTCCGGGCAATGGAGAACATGATAATGTTATGCTAAAGAAGGGGCTGAGTGCAAAGAATAATTGGAAAATCTACGGAACTACAGATGTTTTATGTTCCCATGGATATGAAGGTATAACATGAAACTGATTCTTTCACCCTTTGCACTATTTTTTGTGAGGGTTTGAGAGTTTTGAGTTTTTGAATATTCTGATTCTTTCAGTGACCATCAGAGTTTCGAAAATCTGGGTACTCAGGGCATTAGCCTTGAACTTGCTTTCATATTTATGGCTATCGTAGGTACTCTCTAAAGTAACTATTACTCACCATGCAAGGTAAGTACACTGTTAATAGAGAGTATAAATAACGAGGACTACTGTATACAGCAACACAGAGACAAAATTACATCTTCAAGTAAAAGACAATGTGGGTGAGCTGGGAGAGGGCTGGAAATAACAGTGTAGGTGGAGGAAGTGTGGCTTTTCTAATTCATCAGTTGAGGATAATCACAGCATAATTATTATTACTGATGCAGTTATCCTTTGTAATTAGCTGGAGTCTGATTGTTCCAAAAGGCTTTTGCACATCCAAAACAAATGTTCTGAAAACTATTCTTTAGGATAGTTGCAGTATTAATCCTTCAGCCTTGCTTGTGGGAGCTGCTCTACTGTGTGTGAAATACTTAAATGGTCACTGCAATAACAGTATAGAGAAGGGTTGTCTAACATGATGTTTACTTTTGTCAACAAGTAGGACATCTAAATATTAGTTCCTCCTATTGCACATATTACACAAATCTTAAAATTGTTTAAAATAGTAGTATCTTAGGGTAGACCTGTGGGGCTTTATTAATAGATCTTGAAAGCATCTGCATTAGAACAAAAATCTGGTTGTAGACCTCAGCTATGAACTATTGCTTTATATCATAATGACACTGCTCTACAAAATATTTCAGCAACTTAAGTTTGAAAAGCCACTGAAATGCGTTTTGCTATGGTAATGAGAGAGATAACGTGGAAGGCACTTCAAAGTACAATTCACTCATTAGCACAGACTTCACATTTTTCACAGTTTACATGAATTTGTTATTGTTTTCCATACTGTTTTTGTTGTTTTCTTAGAGACCTTTACATTGCTAGGAAATGCTTTTGGGGCGCCCTGTGTATTCCCTTTCATGTACAATAAGCAGTGGTACTCTGAGTGCACAGATGCTGGCAGGTCAGATGGCTGGCTCTGGTGTGGAACAACTGCAGACTATGACACAGACCAGCGATACGGATTTTGCCCATTAAAAGGTAAGTTTTCTGTTCTCACACAGCTTCCCTCAATGAGGTCTTGGCAAGCCAGCACTAGTAGACTATCAGTATCATTATAATGACGCATTATTTACAAGATACAATTTTGCTATCTGATGTATTGTCACATCCTGGAGTGTTCTACATAAGGCAGTAACACAACATGTTGCTGAAAGACGTGCAAAAAAGTGTGATTAGAGTAAAATAGCATGCAGTTTCCCATAATTGTGGTGGCATTGCTGAGCTGCACAATAATTTTGAGTCTTTTGCTATTTCCCAGAAGGGATATGTGCTATCACCATTGTACAACCCTTTTCTGAGAGACTCTCTTTGGGATGTATGTGAACACAAAAATGAGTGCTGTAGGAAGATTAATGATGAGGTTAACATTTCAGACTGTCTGAATCCCATGTGGAACTTTTTTTCTTTTTTTTACTTAAAGTGGAATGTGTCTTTTTAACCATCCTATTAAGCCCTCTTGACTTCATTTGGAAAGCAGCCTTTTCACTCCTCCAGGCAACTGCCTGCCACCCCTGGCATTTCTCTACTACTTCAAGGACCTTCTGGAAATTTTCTTTTGCTGTAGTCACTTCCCTCTTCATGTCCCTTGATGGCTTTATTTCTGGCAGGTGAGCTTTGTTTTTAAAGGTGTTGAAAACTCTTCCTGACATTTCTCAGTTCTCCCCTGTCTTACTTCTCATTGCTCCAGTTCAACATTATGTCTTTTATTATTGAAATGCCCCATTACTCCAGTTGATTCATAATGTGTTTTCGGCATGATTCAAACCATAGTCAAAGGCTTTCTAGGATGCTGAGCCTAAATGGCATGTGACATAAGGTCGATTAAGAATTTTCAAAGCTTCTGAAAGCTGATCCCAGATGTCAGCTCGTCTTTTAATTTAGTTCCAGACTGGTTTTTCGTAAAAAATCAAATATCTGATTCAGTTTTGTATTATGTTTTATTTAACATACATAGATCTACAGCAGAGCAAAGAAAAAAAAAAGATAATCTTAAGGGGTGAAATGTAACCCAGTAACTTCGCAGTGCCCAGACTCTGAAAGCTGTGTGACAGATACATTCAGAAACACTTTGCAGGAGGAATTTATCTAAGAACTGTTTGATTCTAAATTCAGTTCTAGAGTTGATTCTCACAGCCCTCAGTGGGAACTCATGTCCAGAAAAAGGAGATGTTGTGTACGTTTTCATAGATTTCATCTAGGATTTCTGCTGCAGCACGCCATGCAATATATTTTTCTATGCCATCACTTCCTTTGTAGAGCTGTAGTATTTCCTGAATTACACAGAATAACAGAATGGTTGAGGTTGGAAGGGACCTCTGGAGATCACTTACTCCAACTACAACTCCAACTCCCTCCTCAAGCAGGGTCTTCTAGAGCATGTTTCCCAGGATCGCATCCAGGCAGGTTTTGAATATCTCCAGGGAAGGAGACTCCACTGCCTCTC